TGTACACACACACACACACTTTTAAATTTTTTTAGGGGCTAAATATAAATGGCTCAATTGTTAAGAGCATTTACTGGGGCTCTCCAGGTGGTTCAGTAGTTAAGGACAGGCTGTCCTTCCAGAGGGCCTGGGTTCAATTCCCAGCAACCACATGGCAGCTCATAACGGTCTGTAACTCCAGTTCCAGGGGATCTGGCACCCTCACACAGATTTACATGCAGGCAAAACACCAATGTACATAAAATAAAAGTATTTTTTAAAGAACACTTGCTGCTTGGGGCTGGAGCAATGACTGAGAGGTTAAGAACATGCATTGATCTTGCAGAGGACCTAGGTCCAAGCTCCAACATCTACACGGTGGCTCACAACTGTCTATTGATTCCAGTCTCAGGGAATGGAACACTCTCTTCTGACTTTTGTGGACTCCAGGCATGCACATATATAAACCAAACACTTATACACACTAGATAAGATAAATAAATCTTAATTTTTTTTAAATAAGAACTTGTACTTATTGCAAAGGACCAGTTTTGTTCCCAGCACCCATGATGGGTTGCTCACAATAGCATGTAACTCCAGCTCTAGAGGATCTGACACCCTTTTCCTATCTCTCTAGATACCTACACACACACACACACACACACACACACACACACACAGCACATACAAAGAGAACACATGCACACACAGAGGCACATACATAAACACAAGACAAATTTTAATTTTTTTAATTTAAAGATGTTCCAAATGAGTCACTCAGTCACTTAAAATACCTAAGCTCACTGGATTAGCCTATTAGCAATGAAAAGGTGTCCTGGGACAAAACAGAATACACTCTTAAATTATCTGATATATATTACATAGAAATGCCACAGGGAGTGGGGTTTTATTGTTCTATTGAACCGGTCTCACTAGGTAGCTCAGGCTGGCCTTACAGGCACATACCAGAACATCCACCTTGACGGCTTGTGGTTGTCTGGCTTCACAGCTATGGTCAGCTTGTACTCAACTACAGGGATGGGGGCTAAGTACTCACTGAAGGGTGCCCACTTCTGGAGGTAGGAATAGTAGAGAGCGCTTGCCTTCAAGCATGAGGTAACTCTCCCTCCCAGCAGAGAGCCAGCAGGCTCCCCAAGGGGCTGTTTCCCACCCTGTCTCATTCTTAGGTCCAGCAGGTCTCTGAGTAAACACAGTTCTCTAGCCTTGCAGACAGTACACCAGCAACCCCCTCATTCCTTCCGTGGTGACGTACTTGGGAGCTTTTGCAATCAGATAAATAAGGGCATTCCCCACTAAGCTTCAGCCCAGTAATGTATCTGCCAGTGCTCCCTACTCATTCCTCATTTCCCACAAGACAAAAACAAGAAGGTGAGGCTGTTGCTATGTGAGCAGCTCACGTGTGCCCACATTTGATTACTGCCTTTTTTCCTATGTGCCTGGGCTCCTCCGTCTCACCAGCCAGGAGACTGTAGCCAGAGTGTCTGAGTTCTGGCCTTTGCTGCAGCTTGGAATGCAGGACTATAATAGCCGAAACGAGGCAGGGCTTGTGGCTTATCCCGCCAGGTCTCTCTGTCCAGGTAGGTCCCTTGCAACTTGTCCTTTGCTGGTGTTGTGTTCTCCCTGCACAGCTACACACTTCAGCCTCCGTCCTCTGCCTAGCAGAGTGTACACATTCATTCTCATCTCAATTCTGTGCTGTTTGGCAGTGGAGAAGAAGGGATTCTGGCCCTAACTGCCTTGAGCCCTTAAATGAGAGGGATAGCTACAGATCTGGGCTTTCTCTAGGGTTCAAGATGTGAAATCAGACAAGACGTGGAGGGCCTGGCCACTCCCATCCACCCCAGGAAGGAGCAGTTAGACAGGCTTGGGTAACTGAATGAACCCTGGAACATCCTTCTGGAAGCCATGCCCAGCTATTGGGATCTGTGGCAGAGCTTCTAGGCCTTACAGGTCAATGCCAGTTGTCACCAACAGATGAGTAGAAGACCATCTCCCCAAGACAGTCAGAGGAGGGGCAGTTCCTCCACTGTAGAGGACATAGGAGGCTGACCCTGATGATGACAATAGTCTGATGCAAGGGACACACTGTGCTGAGCTTAAATAACATGCTTGCTTTATCTGAGAGAACGATCTAGAGCTATGGAGTGGAGAGCTAAGGTGCATCCCACACCCTGCCTGTCCATACATGCTTTCTTAGTAGAATGCCTGGCTGGCATCCATGAAGATACTCAGGGTATGAGAGAGAGAGAGAGAGAGAGAGAGAGAGAGAGAGGGGGGGGGTTACTTTAAATCAAAATGGAACCCCTTCCATTTTCATACCAAGTCTCCTCGGTTACAGAGCGTGGGAGAGGTTACAGAGGATGGAGATAGGGTCAGAGAGCCCTGCTAGGCTGGATAGTGACACCAGAAAGCCCACGAGACACATGGGACCCCTCAAAGTAGAACCCTTACTGAATTTCAGGAAGAAGCCAGACATTCTGCAAGGTTCAACCAAGGGTTCTGGGGAGAGTAAAGTCACTGGCGCTGGGCAGGGTGTAGACAAGCGTGCAGGTGGAAGTTCCCTATTGGCTTAAAGGCCAACAGTCTCCCAGAAAGGAAGACTAAACAATGCAACTGACTCAGAACAGAAACAGTATTTTAAACATGATTTTCTAGGATTTTTTTTTTTTTTACATGTCAGCTGTCCAGATACAACCCCGAGGAGCAGAGGAGACCTGAGGTTATATCCAAGGATGAAGCTGTCAGCAGAACTAAGGGGCCAACAGCGGGAACAAAGACCCCAGACGATGGGTGCTACATTAGCAAGCAGGGGTTTCTAGGTGGGGTGGTTAATGTCAGGAATGACAAGTAGACCTGTGCACTCCCAGTTAAGAAAGTAAAAGGAGAGTTTGCCTGCCCCCTCACTAAAGTCACCACAGATACCACTGAAAAGATCCTAAGACACCCAGTGCAGGCTGGCAACAAAGATGGCACCACCAATTTCTTTCAGACTTGGAATTCTATCCATAGACAAATGGAAGGGAGAATGCTGGCCAAAAGATGCAGAGCGCCCTCCCAAGGAAGCTCCTGGTGTGGAGGCCATGGGGTTATGAGGTGGAGGGCTTCTGCAGCACGTGTACAACACTAGCTGGGTCAAGTTTAAGCTCAACTGCTTTCCTAGAGGTCTTCCCTAAACTGAACTAGGTCTGTAGGATTGTAGAGGACAGAAGGCCGTGCTAGCATTTGAGACCAAAGCCATGGCTCCCAAACCGCTTAACCCATGAAAGCAAAGTAAGACATACCTGCAGCTTCACATGGAAGCTGAAGCGGTACACGTTCTTGAATACAAAACATTTCCTGAGGGACAACAAGATGGTTCACACTGAGTAAATGTGCTTGCCTGGCCACCTAAGTTCAATCCTGGAACCCACATAAAGGTAGATGAAGAAAAATGACTCCAAAGCTATCTTCTGGTGCTATGTTTTAGAGATATGAATTTTTACATGTCAACCGAGTTCATAAAAAATGCCGAGATCACTTAGTATTCTCTTCCATGAAAATATTAGCCACACGACAAGAGGTTAAGTATTAAATACTTTCAAACAGAATTCATTTTGGCATCCACTCATAAAAACAGCCTCCTGTGGAACAAGCAATCAGAAAACAAGACATTGCTGTTTTTTGAGGGTTTTTGTTTTTTTTTGTTTTTTTTTTTTTTTTTGTGGAAGGAAGTGAACAGGGGCAGCATCTCATGCACCCTAAACTGGCTTCCAAAGGATGGATGTACTTCAGTTCTAATATTCCTGCCTTTACCTCTGGAGAGTGCTGGGACACAGGAATGTGTCACCACACCCCATGCCAGGTCTATGCAGTGTTAGGGTTTGATTCCAGGGTTCTGTGCACAATGGACAAGCTCTCTATCAAGTGTTTTAAAGGGAAAACTAGTGAAAGGAACATGTCTACAGCCAGGCATGGTGCTACAATCTTGTAACCTCAGCATTTGAGAAGCAGGCAGGAAGAGAACGGTTTAAGAACACCTTAAGCCACATAGTAAGACCATCAAATAAACAGAAATCCTATAGAGCGTTAACATTTGTCATGGTTCAACCAAACTTCTTTTGGAGTAGATTATACTAAGTAGCTATGAAACCCTGCAGCCTATTTTTTAAGCTAGTGTACACACTTTGTAAAAATTTATGTCATCGATAGACCTGTTTTTAGAAAACATCCCAGCTTCCTTAGCTGCAGATACTAACCATGAGCACACATTCTGTAGTCCCTCCAGGGCTCTCAGTAGATTTCCAGCCTCAGGCCCAAAACACTACACACACACACACACACACACACACACACACAAGAAGCCTCACCTTGGAGCGTGCTTCTGAAAGGTTCCAAGAAAGGTATGAGTTTTGTATTCTGCATACTTCTCACATTTTGAAAGTAGTAACAGAAGTGGGTGTTCCAGATCAGTAAAACAGTTTAGTCACTATCAGGGAGGACTTTGAAGGGCATGGAGCTGCACAGACGTTGATAGGTTGAGAAACAGTGAGTGAGAGAGTGTGGGTCCTTAGAGACACTTAGGATGAAAGATGCAAGGGCTCTAGGTGGTTTACAGCTAAAGTGCTTGCCTTTAATTCCATAACTCTGAAGGCATAGGGAGGAACTCTGAGTTCCAGGTCAGCCTGGTCAACATAGAGAGCCCCAGGACAGCCAAGACTACAGAGAGACAGAGACAGACAGAAAGAGACAGAGACAGACAGAGGGAGACAGAGACAGACAGAGGGAGACAGAGAGACAGAGAATTGGCCAGGATGGACAGCTGCCAGGAAGCCACAAATAGTACCTTTCCATGTCTCAATTGGGAAGCGCTTTGAGGCTAGAGATGAAGTAGTGGCTAACCCACAGAGATAGACAGGCAGTTAATATAACGGCTTCTGGGAAAGAGAGCCCGTGTAGGATGTAATAACACACAATAACACACAGGAAAACAATAACAGAAAGATAATTATTACACATGGTAATTAAAAAATACAGTCACTTTATTTCCATTTCCCCCAGTCCCCAACAGCACAAAGGAGAGCCCTCTAAAACAACAAAAAATACTTCAAGGAAGCATGTTACAAGATACAAGGTATAAGCAACAATTTGGCAGAACCTTACCAACTCTAGCAGTTCTACCCCCCAATCCAAATTTTAAAATTCAAAAATAAGAGTTAACTTTATTCAACATATGTTACAGCTTAACATTTAAAACATGCTGGAGCTGGATCTGGGAGGTGTTGGGGGAGGTGAATATGGATCAAAACACATTGTATGAAATTCTCAAAAAACTAATTAAAATGAGAAAAAATAAAATATCATGCTCTAGTTAAATATCTCACAGACAACACTGTATACAAATAAAATATTACACAAAATATTTTTAAGAAAATGTTTTGGTCTTTGATCTGAACAATAAATAAAAACACAGGTACTTCTACACTGAGACAGGGAAGCATCACTACTCAGAAGAGCTTCAGCTAAGCAACATGTGATAGATAATACAGCAAGAATAGAATCCTGGGGTTTTAAACTGACAAACCACTTAAGAAAATGCCTTCAAAATCTAGCTTTTCATTTCAAGTTCAAAACTCACCCTGACCCACATGGAACATTCACAAACCCATACGGCTGTCGGGCTACTGAGTCTTCAGTAGGCCATTAGGGAATCACACTCGAGATTTCCAAATACTAAGTTAACTATTATGATGCTACCCAGGAAAGCAAACACAAGTAAAAGAAAACCCTCTGCCTTCTCATGGCCATAGGCCAGATGAGATGGACTGCATTTGCTGCACGGTGGCTTTCCTTTTGTAAAGAAAATGGCGGGTTCTAGTAACAAGGAGAATACTGTTGGGGTGACAGGGAATTTCAACATCAGTCCACTTTCTAGCCAATTTTAAAAGCCCATCAAAGTTTTATGAAAATAAATAATTCCATTTCACAAAAACACCAAATCATGTCCTACAAAATCTTGATTAGTCAATCAATGTATAAACACCTGATCTGTTTCCATCATTATAATGGAAGCAGGAGTACATCATTACAAGGACAAAAAAGACCTTCCGATTCTAAAGATGATTTTCGAGATGGAAAAATTAGGAACTGAGGACTGGCAGCCAGAGAAAGGGTCAGAACCAGTCCCCCTTGCCACAAAAGTGTGGAACTGAGGGCTCGAGGCCCAGATGCTATTCATCAAGGCGGATGGCTTCATACAGAAGTCACCCTACTGTGAAAGCATGGGAACTAGTCAGGCTATGCCTTTGTGTGAAATGTAGCTCAGATGTATTTTAGCATTTTAAATTAGGACTTTGCAACTGAGACCAAATATCAATCATCTCTTGAGGTTTTCTGCTATGTACTAACATTAGATCTATATATGAACAAATATTTTTTTTATTTTTCTCTTCAATATCAAATGTCCTGAAGCCTTTGTGTTTCTCTGGAACAAGGCCCAGTTTCTGAAGGCACATTCCAGTATAAACATCATCTATGGGGTAGAGGTGGACCCGGTCAGTTACATTGTACAGTCTCAGGGCCAGGGCACCAGAGTACAGGAATCCACCTCCCCCTGCATATGGTGGATAGACCCCAGTGTAGAAGACTTCTGGGATGTAGTACTTCAGTTTCTTATCCCGATGAGGCCCAGCATTGTGGATCACGTCACCGATAAACAAATCTTTGGCTTTATTCTTGGATAAACTATTCAAGTAATTCAGGATGTGGTGAGTATTCACAAACACATCGTCATCGCCTTTGAAAACAAACTCCGCATTTGGACAGGAAGTGCTCACCCACCGGAGAAACAGCACCTCCTTCAGAGACAGGTTGAAGAAAGTATCTCTGTAGTTCCACATGAGGATGTCCTGGTACCTCTCGCTCTCAAACTTCAGCATGTCTGAAAGGTCAGGGTGGTTGTCCTCTGGGGGCGTCTTGCCCAACAAAAAGACTCTCACTACTGTCTGGTTCCCCACGTTGGTTTCTCTGCCCCAAGATTCCCGAATTGCTTGCCTTCTGGCAAAATGTGGAATGAGGGACTTAATCGCCAACAGTAAGAAGGGTTTCTTTGCACATTTCTTCGGTTGATCTATAAGCAGTGAGTAATTTCGGCATCTCAAATACAAGAGGAAGTCTTTAAATCTGTCTGGTAGGTTATTAAAATCTGTCACAGCTGTCATGACCCTCGGGTCAGGTTCACAAAAGCCCAGATGACTTGTATTTGGAGACGCATACAAATCCCCCGTCTGGTTGGCCAGCCTGTTCAGGATGGGATTGTACCACTTGTTCAGCTTCTCTTGCTCTCTGTTCCAGTATGCCCGGGAAGGGCTGGATGTCTTCCAGAACTTTTCTTTGGGTATTATTACTCCCCCCTTTCCATTTTTTTCTTGGCTACTGTTTTTGGAGACTTCCACAATCAAATAAATGAAGACATTTGCCATCATCAGGATACCCAACAACTTTATTCTTCGACGTCCAACACTCATTTCTCATATCTGGAATAAAAGTTAGAAAAGCATATTAGTTAACTCTAAATTTGAGCTCCATGTACACTCTAGGTAATTTTATTTTTTTAAGGAACTTCATGAAAACACCTTAGCATGGTGACATACATACAGTTTTACTTCCAATAACTCAAGAGGCAAATGAATCACTGAGTTCCAGGTCAGTCAGGGCTACAGAGTGAAACCTATTCTTTTTTTTTCCTAAAGTCTTTCCACAAAGAAATGTTTTAAAATAAGGATTCCAGATTCACTAGCTCTGGTTCAAATTAAATTTCAATTTCTCCATCTATAAAATGAGATGTTTGTAGAAAGTATGTGATTGTTATATACAAGGCTTTTGAAATCATGCCTGGCTCATTACAATCATTATGTAAAGTAATGACTAATATCAACGTTACTTTAGACACTTGGTGGACAGAGACAAGCATCACTAAATAACCTCATGATTGTTCAACTACTTTGCTTAAAAAAGTACATACAAATCAGTGCTTTGCAAACTAACTCATCTATAATTCATAACATTTTTTTTATTCTGGCATCCAATATGCATATGTGCACACAACATCACTATATATTATGTTACACTACACACAATGTCACATTATTTACTCTGAATTTCTGTCATTTCTTTAAAAATGCAGATCCAAATCTGAATAAAATATGAATTAGCAGGCCATTTTAGTTTCACCAGCTTCTAACCAAGCGTCCCAAGGTGAAAAGATTTGTTGTGCTGAGAACGATGAGAAACTATTCTATCATGTACAGCTCAGATGATAGAAATTCAAGGCTCCTTTGCATCTCTTGTAATATATCCAGTAGTTTGTACTGAGGACTGTCAAATAGCTCTACTACAGACAGCTTACAGTTAAGCCCTCTGTAACTGTGGCGCAAATACACAAGGGGCGGGGGCTGGAGAGAGAATTCAGCAGTTAAGAGCATGTACTGCTCCTGCAAAGGACCCCGACTGAGTTCCTAGCACCCCATATGTCAACTTACAACCATCTATAATTTCAGTACTGGGAGATGTAATGCCCTCTTCCCTTCTTTTCAGGCACTAGACACACATATGGTATGAATACATGCAGATAAAGCACAAACAAAATAATGAAATATTAAAATGAATATATAAAAGGAAACTTGCCTGTGCCTAACAAACATTGCAGACTTCCTTTTGTTATTCTTTATGTAAGCAGCACAGTATAACAACTATTTACTTAGTGTCCAAACAAGCAAGTAAGCCTTGTAAGTAAAGGAAAGGTTATCAAAGCACACAGAAGGAAGCCTGAGAGGTGGTGTACACCTCTACTCCCAGTCCTTACAGGAGTCAGGAAAGAGACCAGGGGTTGAAAGTCAACACTGGCTGCCTAGTAAGTTCAAAGCCAACCTGAGCTGCACAAGACTCTCAAACAACAAACTAAAACATGCCCCAGGAGAATGTGCTAGGTTATATACAAATTACCATTTCACAAAACTTGAGCAACCAGGAATTTTGTTATCTGTGGGGATCCTGGAACCAAACCTCCATAGACACCAAGGGCAACTCAGTAAGTTAAAGTGTTGTCTTGGGTACTTTGTTTTGGGAAGCAGAGTGTTACTGTATTGTTTGGGACCAAATTCCAAAGCTCAAGTGCACAGTCTCTCTTGAGTGTTTTAAAACAGCTCCTACCACAAACCACCCCTCCCCTAGGCCACTGCACATCCCAAAGAGCACCTCAGAAAAGAAAGTGACATATGCAAACAGCTCTCCAGGACCCCACCTCTGAGCCAGGAGAAAGGAAAGCTGCCTTTTACTACCACAAGAAGAAAACCACTAAATGTCTTACTTCTTGATAACAGTTTTAAAACCCCTGGCCACACAGCCAGAATAGTATCTAACTGCCTATATCCACCTCAGGCCAATTCTGTTCAGATGAACTTTTTCTAAGTACAGCTTACAAAATCTCTCTGTATCTGATGTTGATAAAGAATCATTTAATTTAGAAAACTCAGACAACTCTAAGCTTGACTGATTTTTGAAACAGGCTGACTTCAAACTTACTATGTAACCACACCAACTTTTAATTTCTGATCTTCCTGCCTCCACCTCTCAAATGGCTAAGATTACAGGGGCATGCCACCATGTCCAACTCAGTCCTTTCAAAAGACACCGGTCAAAAATAAAAGGCTCCTGTTTTGTTTTAATTCTTTCATTTTTATGTGTGTTGAGTGTTTACCTGCATGCAATCATGTGTGCCATGAGCATGCGTGGTGCCCACAGAAGCCAGAGAATGGCATTAGATTCCCCTGGAACTGGAGTTACAGATGGTTAGAAGCTGCCTCGTAGGTGCTGGGTACCAAATCTGGTCCTCTGCAAGTGTTTTTAACCTCTAAGCTGTCTATCTCTCCAAGCCCCCCAAAATGGTCCTCTTTAAATTGATGGTTCTACTGCTAAACGAGCCCTTTGCAGGACTGAGGGTGAAGCATTTGTAATGCATGCAGAGGAACTGAGTTTGAATACCTGAAACCCACATAAAGCTGGACATGCAACATGCCTGTAAACCCTGTGCTCCTTTAGGAGACAGGCATGCCGGTAAAAGAGTGTCTGTGTTCAGTAGTAACACAAGAGACCCATGTGACCAGCGCTGGAGTGGGTCTTGTCCTTGACATCTGTGCTGTGGCAGATGCATGCCCACATGTATATGTACACAGAAGGGGCTTCCCTCACAACTACCAATCTCTTGGCTGTGGGCTCTTTCTCCTCTGAAAGAGGCAACAAGAAAAGGATAGACCCATCATTTGGAAAGGCGCACAGGAAACAAACAAGCAAACAAACAGTACACACACACACACACACACACACACACACACACAAACCCAGGTAGTGGTTACACATATCTTTAATCCTAGCACTCAGAAGCAGAGGCAAACGGATCTCCCAAGTTTGAGGCCAACCTGGTCTATAGAGAGAGTTCCAAGATAACCAGGGCTACAAAGAGAAACCCTATCTCTTTGTAGAAACCAAAACGACAGTACACACTGTGACTAAAGGCAAAAGTTGAACACTAGACACAGATTTTTCCATTTAGTAAAAACATTTGAAATACCAATAAATAAAAGACAACAACAGCTTACAGAAGAAGATAGAGAAGCACACACACTAACACAGCAGGTTGTGAAATTCTAGAGTTAATTCTCCTAAGATTCAGTAAAATTGTAGAAAAATTACTGCAGTTAGACCAACAAGTCACACGCCTAGCTTGTGGGGACCAGAGACTACTAGAATTCAGCCAAAACTATGTGACATTTCTCATGAATCCACCAATCCTTCATTTTTAAAATTACTCAATTATACATATATATATAATTTATATATACACATACATATATATGAGTGTTTTACCTGCATGTATGTCTGTGCACACATTTCAGGAGCCAGAAGAGGCTGAGAGCCTCTGAAGAAGGAATTATAGACTGTTGCTAGCCACCATGTGGTTACTGAGAACAAAGCGTAGGGTCTCCGGAAGAGCAGCCAGTGTACTTAACTACTGAGCCATCTCTCCAGCCCCACTAACCCTTCACTTGAAGCTCTCTAAAGAGCGCACCGTCAGCTGTACTTGCTCAAGAGTCCAGTCTATGGAGCATCTTCCTGACTATCACCCCACCTCAGGCCAAGTTCAGAGGATGCCACTTTATGAGTAGAGCAAACAGAGGGGTGGGGGGCATGACACTGACTATCACCTAAGATTCGTGGGTGAGCCGGATCCCAGCGTGCGGCTCTTTGCATGCATTCTTTTCTCAAGTTGGTACAACTTCATTCTGCCCCAGGTTGCTGGTGAAGTCTTGGCAGTTTGGAATTATACACACCAAAGAGCAGAAAAGTTCCTGGGTCCTACCGGAAATGCCAGCCTTTCTTAGAAGACTCTAAGTCCCCAAAGGCTTGGAGGAACCCTTTCCACTAATTTCAAACAGGTATTCTTCTAAACTTACCTGAGGAGAGGGATGAAAAACCCCAGATTCTCCCCCAAGGTTAGATGTTACCATTTTCTTGTAATCTGAGTCTAAGAGAATTTTGCTTTTAGATCTGACAGCAAGTGAGTTCACCAAAAAAAAAAAAAAAAAAAAAAAAAAAAAAAACCTGTGGGAAAAGCTCTCTAAGTAGTTAAGTAATTCCCACTGCAGACATGAAGCCCATTGTGTGGTTTTTGGTGTTTCCCCCTCCTCCCCCAGGAAGTTACACTGCTTAAAAAGAATTTAAGAAATACACCAAAGCTGGAGAAACGGCATTTCCCCCACACACACACACATACACACTATGAGAACAAGAATTTTCAAGTAAAAATCCTATATACAATCACCAAAATTTTAACTTTTCACATTTCTTCCAAAAGGGATGGACCCCCTCTCCCACAAGCACACAGGCTTCTCTGTGTAACCCTGTGTAACTCAGAGACCTGCCTGCCTCTGCCTCCCTGAGTACTGGGACTAAAGACATGTGCCATCACACCCAGCAAGGCACAGCCTTCTACAACACTGTAACGGAATTTAACAGCAAAGCAATTTCCCTTTTTATTCTGCAACTAAAATATTTGGAAAGGCAAGGATTACCACACATATAAGAAAGCACTCAAGCTACACAAAAAGTACAACTCACTAAAGCCGCTGGGACAGACTGTGGCGGTCCCTTAATGCTGTCCCACTGCCGCTCTGATCTGGAAGCTTCATGGAGCCCTGAATGGGGCCATTGCATGAAGCCCCAAAGCCTGCCTCCCCCCTCTCAGGGCTGTCTGAATCCCACCGAACTCAGAGTGCCAGGCCACTTTACAAAAGTATGAATCCAGCTGGCACTTGGAACTGGCAATCCTATCAGGCAGCTACTCTAAATGCTCTCCTCCTCGCTGGCCCATGTAGACACTGAGCACAGGAAGTGAATGGATCTGCCCAAGATCACACAGTTGCTTAATGGATGGGCTGGGATTCAATGCAAATGAGTGCAGAAATATAATGAAAAGAAC